GGCGGGCCGGAGTCCAGCCGCTCCTTGGAGCAGGGGCTCCTCCCGGCCTGGGGTTGACGTAAGCGTCCCCATGTCCCCAGGGCCTGACCCCCATTAAGCAACAAAGTTTGAAAACAGCAAAGCTGGTAGAATCAGTAGGCCTGGGCTTTCAGACTCTGCCACTTGAGCAGCTTCAGGGAAAAAGAAAGTCTTACCACCCCGACCCAATTCTTCATCTGTGAAATGGGAATATAATACAGACCTCTTTGGAATGATATGAGCATCAAAGAGCTGTGACAGAATCTGTGAACTGTAAGGCATGGCAGGACTGTTTCTCGCTGTTAACATCACCACTGCTGCCACTGACGTGTGACTAAAGTTGCCACAGCAGACTCAGGGCTCCCAGCACTCTCCTCACACGGGGCCCAGAGTGCACAGCTCCTTTACTTCCTTGTGTAAGCCCCACCCACTGCTTCTCCACAGGGTCTTTGCCCAGGAGGCCGTTAGCCCAGCACAGCAACCAATCAGCTGACTAATCCATGAAACAGAGGTGCGTGGAAGGCCTGAATAAGGTTTGACAGGGAGGTGAGGCCTGGTTCTGCCAAGGCCCTGCAGCAGGGCCTGCCTGGGGAGGATCCATTTCTGCAGTTATTTGCCTCCTTGTGAAATAAGTCCAGGAACAGTCTCCTTTCCGGGCAGCATGAGGAAGAGAGGACGGGAACAGTAAAAAGAAGCAAAAGCCAAAGACCCAAGGCTGAGGAGGCAAAGGGGGGACGGTGAGCCCAGGACTACCTGGTCTGTGACGTCGTATACCACGATGATGCCGTGAGCCCCCCGGTAGTAGCTGGAAGTGATGGTCCGGAACCGTTCCTGACCAGCTGTGTCCCACTACAAGGCAGTCGGAGAGGGGGCAGGTCAGCCCTGGGCTCCGTGCCCAGAGCCCCTCCCCTCTGAAGGCAGATGCCTCTGCACCAGGGCTCTGGGAGGAGCCACACTCACGATCTGAAGCTTGATGGTTTTGCCGTCCAGCTCAATGGTTCGGATCTTGAAGTCCACCCCGATGGTGCTGATGTAGCTCTCTGTGTATGTGTCGTCCTGGAAGACCGGGGGTCAGGGAGATGGCCTGAGCAGACAGGTCTGAGGCCCATCTGGAAAACCTCCCTCTGGTTCCCTGCCCGACCTGAGTGCCTCACTGCTGAGCCCCAGTTCTCACAGCCCAACCTGCCAGCCCTATGCCTGTGCTCAGTCAGATATGCTGCAGGCAGGTCCTGCCCCTTCACCCCTGGTCTCCCGGGTCTTGCAACCACTGTTCTCTGTGTCGCCCCACCTCCCTCAAGCCACCAGCCAGGACCCTAGATGGATAGTATGGGAAGCTTCTTACTCACAGCAAACCGTAGGAGCAGGCATGACTTGCCCACGCCCGAGTCACCAATCAAAAGCAGCTTAAACAGGTAGTCACTGGAGAGAAAGGATGGGAAGATGTGAAGGAAGGCAGGGAGCCTGCCTGCCATCACCCTGAAGTCCCAACTACAGCATTCTCCCACACTGCGAGGTGTGCCTCGGATTAGGGTAGTGAGGTACTCAGAAGACCCTCCTGCAAGTCCCGGGCTGGGAAGGGCTGACCACACCCCGTAACACAGCTGGCCCAAAGGGAAGCATCTGAATTTCCACTTCGCAGAGAAGAAAACAGAAGCACAGAAAGGAACGTGACTTGCCAAGGATCACAACCAGTCAGGTGACAGAGTTGGGTATCCCAGCCTGGTTCCCAATAGACTCCATGGTTTTGAGTCCAGTAGGGAAACCCTACTGCACTGCCCTGTGCCTGGACCTGACTGGGCAGGAGAGGCCCCAGAAGTGGAAGCCAGCGCCCAGCCTAGAACTTATGAACTGAATTTTTACGTAAAGAGCCTGGTATGAGGCCTCTAAGAAGAGAGGGTCAACAAGTGGCAATGATGCTTAGATAGCATCACTGACTCAGTGGACATGAATCTGAGCAAGCTCTTGGAGACAGTTAAGGACAGGGAAGCCTGGTGTGCTGCAGTCCATGGGGTCACAAGGAATTGGATATGACTCAGTGACTGAACAACAACAAAATGTATCAAGTTTACACTGGTACCTGGCCCTGTGCTAAGTACTTCAAATTCATCATCTCATTTACACCTTACAGTAGTCCACTGAAGTGAGTGCTTTTATTTCCAACTAATGAGGAAACCACACGCCAGAGAACGGAAGCAACTTGCCCTAACTGACACAGCTGTTAACCTTAATACTGGAAACCAGGTTCAGACTCCAAAGTCTCATTGAAAGCCTGTTGGTACCCTTCTCTGTTTCCCCTTATGATCCAGCTCAGAGCTTCACCATTCCCCAAGGAAATGTGAAGTCTGGATCTGGAGAACAAAAAGGAAGTAGCCGAAGAGGAAGAAGATAACTGACACTTGGGGAAAGCTATCAGTGAGAAGTCGGGGCAGAAACGTGGGCCACCTACCCGTAGGGGGAGTGACCAAGAAGTGAGGAGAGTTTGAGGAACAAAAAGAATCCCACTGGAAGGGTGGAAGCAAACGCAACATTCGTGTAAACTTCATCCGCAGGGTGACGGCGAAAGGAAGGGGTGTGACAGTGGCGCCGGGGCTTGCGCAAAGGTGAGGGGAAGGCGGGAGGGGACCGGCCGCCGGGGGCGACCAGGCACTTTGATCCAGCAGCCCGGATGGGAGAGGCTGCTTGCGAGTTACCCAGAGGGCCAGCCTCCAGGAACCGGATTCCGGGAGGACGGGAGAGCAGAAAGTACCGCCCGACCTAAACGGCCCGAGTCTGGACCGAGACCAGAAACGCTGGTGACGGGCTCCACTATCAGAACTGTCGTCAGCTCCCCGATCGCCACTCTAAGGCAGCAGGTGGGGAAACTGAGGCCTGGAAAGAGCGGGGCTGCAGGGTCACCTGACCGACAAGGCCTGGTAGTGCCGGTGCCTCGGGCTCCAAGTGGTGCCCCTCGGGGTCGCAGTCTCCAGGCCCGTGTGCGAGAACTCGGGGTGTCGAGTCAGGGTCCTGGGGCCCCCGGGGGAGGGGCAGGACCCGGATGTGAGGGGGGGAGGTCAGCGGAAGAGGGGACCCGGATGTGGGGGCGCCGCGCAGCCCTGACCCGGGCCGGACAACCCCGGTAAGCGTACAGTCCCGTACTCGGGATCGAGGCTGCGCCGCACGGCGCGGGCGGGGCGCACTCACTATTCGGGGTTCATGGCGGCGGCGGCGGCCCGCTCGGTCGCTCCCAGTCGGCTCTGCTCCGCCTCCCGTTCCAAGATGGTGGCCGCTCCGCCCCAGAGGCCCCGCCCGCGACGCGCAGGCGCAAAAGTTCCCGACTGGGGCCTCGCCGCATTGCTTCTCGGAACTTGTAGTCCCCATACGTTGTCCAACTCATTCCCGCCGCGCAGGCGTAAACCGAAGAGCCCGAATCTCCTAGCCCACGCACCCTCATCGCCGCGCATTGCCTTCTGGACCTTGTAGTTCACTCCCTAGACGGACCTGGGCTTAAGGACGGCGCTCGGCAGCCTCACCACGTCCCGGCGTTGGGATACTCAATTTAGTGCTCGGATTGGCGTTTCACGTCTGACAGAGGTATTCATCCTTACACTCCCCGCTTCCGGGAATATTAGTAAAAGTTCATTTATCAAGGGTTTTTGGTGTGCTGGCGCTCCTAACTCCCAGCCACAACCCCAGGAAGGTGTCACCCACATTTTATAGGTGAAAAAATCGAGTCTCAGTAACTCGCCCAAGGTCAAATAGCTTCGTCAGGGACAAAGCTCAATCAAAATCTATGATCTATAGAATCTCAGAGATGAAGGTTGTTAGAAAAAAACTCCTGAATCTGTGGGGCCCCCAAACAGTTCCGGGACAGGAGAAGCCTACTGGGCTCCAGCTGCGCGGAACCAGATGTGAACCAGACACACACACACACTCATACTCGCAGCCTCTCCCGACCCCACTCCCAACCTAGAGACTAGAGACACTAGGAGCTCTCGGCCTCCGTCCCAAAACAAGCCCGGCTCAGAGTCAAACCGTCTTTATTTCTACAGCAACATTTGAAAATAGAGAGCGACCGCCTCACTTCCCAACTGGGGCTGCCCCTCCTGCCACGGGGGGCCATCACTGCCCCTCGCAAGAAGCTGCAGACGCGGAAGGAGGCGTGGCAGGATGGCTCTTGTGGGCGGTGCCCGGGACGAGGTCAGGCCGAGCCTGGGCGGGGCGGGCGGGGCAGTGCATAAGACCCGGTTGCAGGGCAGGGCCCGGCGGGGAGAGGACCAGTATGGAGCGGGCTTTCCGTCCTGGGACACGGGGCGATGGCGGGTCCGGGCGCACCCCTAAGAGGCCGAGAGGAATGCGAGAGGGCCCAGGAAACCCTTTGGGGAGGCGCCGCCCCTGAGATGTGGAGCCAGGGAGATACCACCGCGCGGAATGGGGGTGATTAAGGCCTGGGCGGTACCACTGGAGAAGGGTGGGGTCAGGCTGGATAGTACCAAGGACGGAGGGGAGGGGTGCGGCCAATAACTTATTTCTCTATATATACAGAAGCAACGGCCGGGGGAGGGCTGGGTGCTGAAGGGACCGCAGGTGCTTAGTGTTCTTGGATCACGGGTCTGCAGAGAGCGGGCCACTGAGTCTCTCTACCTTGGAGACCCTCCCTGCCCAACCCCTCTGCTGGCCCTGAACCTAGGGAAGAGGGGCCCTGCTGGAAGGAATAAATAAGGGGGAGGGCTGGAGCGGGAGGGCCCAGCCTCCAGGGCTCAGGCTAAAGGGAGAAGGTTACCCTGAGATTGAACAGAAAAGATAGGGGTCCTTGGAAGAGACGGGAGGGCAAGCAGCAGGCCCATGCGCAGGGCAGGGGTGGGGACAGTGCCGGTGGAGGCTCTGGCGAACGGCTGCCCCTTCAGGATTAGCCCACGAGGGAGTTTCGCCGGGAGAGGTCCATGGAGCTGGAGCTGAGGGTGCGGCTGTCAGAGAGGCCTGTGCCTCCAGGCTGTGGGCAGAGGGGCAGGTGGCTCAGCCGTGTGCTGCCGCCAGTCTGCTTCCCTGGCCGGAAGGGGCCTGCCAGCCAGAGCCCCTGGTGCCCTGACACTCCCACCCACCTCCACAGTCACTGTGTTTGCTGCTGGCCGCTCATAAGCAGCACCCAGCTTCCCCTCACGTTTCCCCAGGGTCCAGCCAGGCCTGGGATGAAGACAGGAACGGAAGTGTTGCCAGATGAACAGGCAGGCTTGAGCAGCTTGGCAGGTACTCATGCAGGCCCGAGGCTGGGGCCTCAGCTGCTGGGTGCTGACCACTACCTACCCGTACCTGGATTGGCTCTTCCACACTCTTGTTGAGGAAGTTGAGGGAACTGGCCCGCTTCATCCTGAAGGGAAAGGGTAGTCAGGATTTGCCCATGGTGGAACTCAGGGAGGATGGGGAGGTAGGCTTGTGGAAGGGAGGCGGATAGGGTGGGGGATGGGGCTTCAGCGAGACAGAGATCACCCTGGGTCGGGAGTTCAGCTGGGGTTGGTAGGATGTTGGGTGAGTTCTTGAGAGGCTCACTGGGATGGGGGGCTCACCGGGGGTTTGGGGGCTCCTGGGGACCACCCCCCTGCAGCTTCTTCACCAGCATCTCACTGCTGCGCCTCAGGGCATCCCGGAGCTTCCCGAAGGAGCCGCTGCGCCGCAAGGAGCCACTGCCGTCCTGCAGGGAGGCCGACAGGTTTGTCTCTGCCTCACCAGCTACACAGCCCCCTGGGCCAGCCAGCCCCTGGACTCACCCCGGTCCACTCAGCTGCAGGCCCCGCCTCCTCGAGGTCAGCCTCAGACCGAGCCCCCGCAGCCCTGGGCACGTCTCGGCTGCCACGGCGGTCTCCGCGCCCGCTGCCACCCTCCTTCAGGAGCTCCACCACCTTGGTCTGGCTCGCGGGGTCCAGGCCCTGAGGCAGGGCAGGGTGTATCAGGCGAGCAAGGGGCCCGTCGGATCACACATCGGGCTACGCAGGCCCCTGCCCACGCTCCTCGTGCCTGTCACCCTACCTGCTTGCGGCTGCGGCTGGCACAGTCCTCCAGTGTGTGAGCAGCCTCCAGCTTGCCCTGGCGCCGATACAGGGCCCCCAAGCTGCGCAGGGTGGTGTTGACCGTCGGGCTGCGGACAGGGAGCAGGGCAGTCTCTGGCTCCATGCGCCCAGGAATCAGGGCCCACCCTGACACCCGGCCCCCCGCTGGCACTGAAGAGCCTCCAGCCAACCAAAATGGAGCCCCTCCGGCAGGCCGGGCCCTGGTCGAGGTCTGCCTGGGTTCACCTCTATCTTAGGAGATCCCCTCAGGGCCCTAAGTGGGATGTCGCCTCCCAGGACTGAAAGCTAGGAACCCCGGGAACGAGATCATCAGGTTTTCCTGGGAGGACAGAGCCTTTCTGGGACAGGTGGCCTGTGACCTGGGCCTCGAAAGACGAGCTGACAGAGAAGAAGCGTGTGTTCCGAGGCTGAGCAGTTTAAATCGGGGTTCTGAATCAGGCCTAAGTGGAATGAGCGTTGCCAGCCTGGCCTCAGCACCCACCCATGATGCCGCCCCCGGCTCCGGCCGCCTCTCTGTGCTCCTCACCTGTCTACTTTACAGGCCTTGTACCAGCTGCCATATTCCCCGTAGGGGGTGCTGTCCCGGCGCTTATCCTGGGGGAGACACACGCGGGAGTTGGGAGAGGCCCCCCTGCACACCGCCCAGCTTGCCCTCTCTCCACGGGTACCCGCCCCGGCCCTGCCCCAGGGGGCTACCTTGCTCTCCTCCCGCTCCTCTGCGTGCATCCAGATGGGCTTGTTGTCCCCTGCGAGGGGAGAGGGGCTGTCACAGCCTCTCATGTAGGCCCCTCCTGGGTGGGCTGGACACAGGACTGGGGTTTGGGTGGGGGATCAGGGACACTTGAGAAGGACCAGAGTTGGCCTTCGTTGGATGAATGAATGGATAAGAAACAGACCCCAAACATGACTGACCCTCTCCTGGAGTAGAGGAGTCTGGCCCAGGCCTGTGCTTGAGGAACTTACGCCTGGGGGTCTCGGTGAGCAGACGCTTGCAGACCCCAGGACCCTGGTCTGAGATGGTGCTCAGCCCAAGCAATGGGCCAGGCTGAGGGGTCCGAGAGCAGGAAGTGATTGACCGTCAGGGGCCAGGAAGGTGGCTTCCCAGACAGGGAGACATTTGGGCCAGGCCCTCCCGGTGAGCATGTGTTGCCCAGTAGAGCAAGGGGGAGAGGCTCAAAGCTGAGGGCACAGGTGTGCACCGGGTGGGCATCGCACGGATCCAGACCCCCTGGAGGCCGTACGAGTTGGGTGTGTGTGCTCATGTGTGCACACACGTGGCTGCGGACCGGCCAGAACCCCGGTGCGAGGCCTGCCTGGCCAAGGTGTTTGCCGTGGGTGCTGGTGGCTGAGCCGGCCTGCCCCAGATGAGCCCCTCGGCAGCCCTGCTCACCGCTGACAGAGCCGAACTCCTTCTCGTGAGCGCGGGTGAGGATCTCCTTGTACAGGGCCTCCGCATCCTGGTATTTGCCCTGCTTCAGGTAGCAGGAGGCCTGGAGGGGCAGGGCCCAGAGGTGAGCAGGAGGGAAGGAACTGAGTCTTCCCCTCCTCCCGCCCCTCCGCCCCCTCCCCCAGGCCCTCCGGCCCCGGACACCAGGTTGTTCTTGGTCTTGGCCACGTTGGGGTCGTCAGGACCCAGGCGTGTGGCATAGATCTCCAGCGCCCGCCGGTAGTAGTATTCCACCTCCTCGGCTTTGCCCTGGTTCTGGCACAGCAGGGCCAGGTTGCTCAGCTGCTTGGCCACGTCTGGATGAAACTTGCCCAGGACCTGGGACCAGAGCAGGAGCCAGTGGCCAGGGTTGAGCTGGCTGAGGCCCCCCCCAAGCCCCGCTGGCCGGCCCTGCCCTGCCTGCCCCCACCTTCTCCCGGATCTCCAGCGCCCGCTTGCACAGAGGCTCAGCCTCCTTGTACTTGCCCCGCTTGCCATACAGGACTGCCAGGTTGTTCAGTGTCGCAGCCACCTAGAGTGGGGGAGAACAGAGGCTCCATGACCCTGGGCCTGGCCGGTCTCTGGGACCTGGAAGTGCAGAGGGGCGGGGAGGAAGCCTCACTCACAGCTGGGTGGTCCTTGCCCAGGGTCTTCTCTCGGATGGCCAGGGCATCATTGAGCAGGTGGGCGGCTTCCTTGTACTTGTTCTGGTCCCTGGGGGCAGGTGGGAGCTGATGAATGGTATCCTCCAGCCCAAGGCCCTCCTCCTAGCGGTCCCAGATCCCTGGGGTCACTCATTCTGTCTGCTCTGATGAATGAGCACGATAGGGGTATGACCCAGGCGTTGGGAAGCGTGGTCAGCCCCTGCCCTCCGACCTGGGGAGCTCTGCGCAGGCAGCACATGCGGTACTCGGTGTGAGCGGACTCCCCCGTGTCCCGCCCTCACTGCCCGTGCTCAGTGTTCTGTGTGGTCTGTTCCCCACGGCCTCTGCTCCTGCTGCCCTTTCTGCCAACAAAACCTTCTTCAGCCCTCTTACGACTTTGGGCAAACTCAACTTTCACCAGAGACCCTCCTCAAACCTCCGGTGTTGGAGAAGCTGAGCCCCCAGCATGCTTGTGTGTCGCCCCCTCCCCAGTTACGTCCAAGCCTGTTTCCCGCACTAGACTGAGGCATGTTCACGTGTGTAACTCAGGCCCCCTGTGGGCTCAGCCCTCTCTGGGGACAAGATCCTTCTGTCTCTGTCACCCCACTGCCTGGTAGAACCCGAGTCCTGGCCCATTGCAGGCACTGGGTTTTTGTCATCCCCAGGAGGAGCGCTCCGGCAGATGACTGCAGTCAGGGAGAAGCCTCACCGGTAGACCAGCGCCAGGATGTTCAGCATGGTGGCCACGTCCGGGTGGTCATGGCCTGATGTCTTCTCCAGGTCCTCCAGGGCCTGCTTGCAGAGGGGCACGGCCACCTCGTAGCGGCCCTGGGAGGCGTATTGGATCACCAGGTTGTGCAGGGTGCGCAGCCGTGCCGGGATTTCATAGCCCCCGTGCTGGGCGGCCACATCGCCTCCTCCAGGGCTAGGGGCTGCAAAGCCAAGGGGAGGAGGTCAGATGTACCAACTATCCCCTGAGCTGGGGGATAGCTTTGACTGATCTCACACGTGGCCCTGGGCAAATCACTAACTGTAACCCTCTGTCAGTTTCCCCATCTATAGAGTGGGTCTAGTCCATAGAAAGAGAGGGTGGAGTCCCAGCTCCAGTAATTCAAGCTATGTGGCCCAGAGCAAGCCGCCTAACCCCCAAGTGGAGCATCTGCCTCATCTGCAGAAGGGAGGCTCTGATTGGCACATGACATGAGGAACAAGGCCAGCACTGGCCTAGTGCTCCGGCCTGGGGCTCCGCACTATGTATGCTCCTCCTTTAACCCTCAGGGGAGGCTCGGAGAAGAAAAGAAACTCTACCAGCAGTCACAGAGCAAAGAGTGCAAAGCAAGTCAGGGATCACACCTGGGCCGGGTGGCTCCAGGGCTCCGAATTGTGCTGCCTGCTTCTCACGGAACTTGAGGTGATGAGAGAAGCAACAGGTAAAGCCGGCCTTTTAAACTCTCATGCTGGGATGTTCTGATCAGAAATGAGGCAGGGAAGAACCTGGTGGTCACTCAGACCTTGTTTCCTGTGACCTCTGGGCCCTAGGGACCAGTTCACCCAGCCTTCCTTCCCCACCCCCAGAGCCAGCCACCCCTCCGCACCTGGGTTCTGCTCCTCCTCACTGGGGAACAGGTCATCCAGAGAGTCTTTGGGGACATCCCCCTTGTCCTCCTGGGGAGGGAGACAGGGTGTCAGGGAATGTGGGCAGCCCAGGGGTCAGCGGGCTAGGTGGGAGCCGCACCTGCTTCCAGCCCCCCTCACCGCCCCCCACACCCTACAGCGGCCTTGCAGCGGCCACGCCAGGGCTCACGGGGGGGGAGGCGGCGTCATCCAGCTTGCGGATCTGGCTCATGAACAGCAAATGCTGCTTCTCCTCCTCCAGCTGGGCCACGGCCTGCTCGCTGCGCTGCAGCTTCTGCTGCGTCCCCGCCAGCTCCTCGCGCAGCCACTGGTTCTCCTGCACCAAGCGGCGCACCTGGGCCCGCAGCTTCTGCTTCTCCGACTCCACAGCCCCCAGGTGGCTCGAGAGCGCCAAGATCACCTGTGGCGGCCAGCCGGGATGGAGGTCAGAGCCCTGGCCACCTGCCCCCACACCCCGCCCAGCCTGGGCCTCCTGGGGCCCAGAGAAGAGCCAGGCCTGGAGGAGCTGCCAGCCTGAGGGTCCCAAGTTCTCTCATGAGGGAGTTTTGCTCCAGGGCCTCAAACAGACCACACACAGCCTGAGACCTGAACCCAGGAGGCTTGGGGATCCCCAGCTCCTTCCTTTAGCAGTAGGGGCCCCTGGGCTCCCAGGTTGGCTTTGCTAGACTCTGAAAGATCCCATCATCCCCTTTCCTGGGGCCTCCAGCTAGCCCTCCGCATTGATGTCCAGATCCTTGCTGGGTCGTTCTGACCACGAAGAGTGCTCACTGGGGTGTTGCCCATTCTGCAAGCTGGCCGCTCTCTTCCTGTCTCTCCTAGGAGTTGTATTCAAGCCCTGTAGCCAGAGCCACTATATCACTGCCCCTGGCCCAGGGCTAGCACTTTTCCAAAGATTCCTGAGAGGTGGCTGAAAGGATACCAAGAGACCCCATCCTGACTTCTGCCCAGGGGCCACCTGCAGCTCCCAGGGAGGAAAGGAGTATGTGTCCTAAACCCCTGGTTTTCTGGGGAACCAGAGGGGCAGGGAAGGGGATCCAGGGGCCTCAGCTCCCATCCTCCTCCCCCAACTCCCTGACTCCTTTCCTGAGCTTCCAGGTGCTTCCTGCCTTGAGGCCTTAACTAGGCGCTACCGTTTCTCCATCCTTCATGGTCAGGGTCATTTCTGCAGTGAAGCCTCTTCCCTCTTATGCTCTCAGCCCCAGGAAAGCAGAGTACCTCACCCACCCCCCACGCCATCCTGTTGTCCACCTGTACCTGCCCTGGGAGGGTGCCTCGGTATGTTCATCTCTGTACCTGGCAGTCAACTGGTCAAGGAGTGAGTGACCAACACATTGTCCTTCCAGAGGGCTGGGCAATCTAGGACCATGTGCTTTCTAGACGAGCAAACACCCAAGTGGCAGGTGTCTTCACAACCGCTAGCTGTTTAAAAAAATTCCCTAAACAGCCTGTAAGTATACACAGCAGATGGTGTGATCCTTCTTTTAAAAACAAGGAAACCAAGATGATACCACCTGCCTAGGACTCACGGAGCCAGGCAGTGTCTCAGCCAAGATCTGAGTGGGCCAAGACTCTTTTCCAGAGAGTCTGACTCCTTGGGGACCCCAGTGCCTCCTGGACATCTCCATCTGCATGTCATCCTGGCAGCCTCAGCTCCTTAAGAGGGCCCAAACAGAACTCCTGATCCATTCACTCTCTTTTTTTTTTTTTTTTTAACTTATTTTTATATTTTTTATCTCTTGGCTGCTGTGCACAGCATGTGGGAATCTTAGTTCCCCGATCAGAGATTGAACCCACGCCTCCTGCACTGGGAGTGCAGAGTCTTAACCACTGGACCACCAGGGAAGTCCCCCTTTTCTTCTTAATTTGCTCAAACTACAAACTTAGGAGTTGCCCTTCTCCCTCTCCTTTAGTCCAGCCCCAGGCCCTGCTGGACCTACCTCTAGAACATCTAGAACTCACCCCCTTCTTACTACCTTCATGGCCACCCCTTTACTCCAAGTCGCCATTTCTCATTTGAATTCCAGTAGTGGCTTCCTAACACCTGCTACCTCGTACCCTGACCCATCCTCATTCATTCTCGACACCTCAGCCAGAGAGTTTTTAAAGCCTAAGCCAGGCTGTGTCCTGTGACTGCTTAAACCCTCCAAAGGCTTCCTGACTTCCTAAGAATAAAACCCAGACTAATAAGGCCCCTGCCTTCTCCATAGACCTTTTCTGCCCCTCTCTCTTTCCTCATAAAGCTCCAGTCAGACAGGTCTTCTCTTAGTTCTCCCACCACAACGAGATCTTTTCTACCACAGGACCTTTGCACACACAACCTCTCACTCTCCTTTTTTGTTCTGTCACTCAGGTCTTGATTTAAATGTCATTCCTTCAGAAGTGTGGCTTGACCAATAGATAAGACCTCCTGCCATAAGTTTTTTTTTTTGAGAACTCACTGTAACGTTGAATAAATATATGTATTTCTGACTCTTCAACTACTAGACCTGGCAGGGATCTTGTCTGTCTTGGACCTATATCCCTGACACCTAACACAGTTCCTGGCGCACAGTAGATAACTTACCTGTTAACAAATGAATAAAAGAATAAATGAGGGGAGGGGTCCTTAGGACTTCCTCTTTGTTTCCCTAGGCCATGCCGTCTCTGCTAGGTAGCAGAGAAGCCAGACGATCAGCCTTCCTGGGCCCAGGTCCAGTGAGGGTCTCCAAAACCCATCCATTTCTTCAACAGATAGCTACCGGATCCTACCATAAGGCTCCAAGGCACAGGTTCTTCCTTCCATGCTGATTCTGTTACTACACTGCCAGGATTTCTCTGGAAGGCTCCATCCCTCCCATGACCTCCCTCCTCAGCACTCCGGAGCAGCTACCTGGGCCTCCCCCAGCCCCAGCTCGATGGCCTCCAGGGAACGGCGCAGGAGGACACAGCGCTCCTGTGAGCCTGGCTCGGCCTCACTAGCTTCATGAGCGACCAGGGGAGCGAGAAGGGCACGATGCTCCCCGCGCAGGGTCTCTAGCCCTTGGATGACGGCCTTGGTGCCCAGCACGATCTCATCCTGGCTCAGCTTCTCCTCCCGAGGAAGCACCATCGTGGCCATGGCCGTGCCTCCTGTGAAGGCGAGAAGGCGGGCAGAGGGTGCCGGGCCTGGGGCCACGCCGCTGTCCGCCCCGGATTAGGTAAACACCTAAGCCCCCCCGGACGCCTGGATCCCCCGGGTGCCCGGCCCCCAGGGAGCAGCCCGCACCGTGCTCGCGCTCGGCCTACAGGGGGCGCGCTCTGCTCGTCTCGGCCCGGGAGACGCAATGCGGTGCGACCCGAGGCTGTACCCGGATTCGGCCCAGACCACCGGCTCAAGGCCGGCTTAGGCAACCAGGTCTCGGGGCTTCCCCGGAGGCTCCCTTAGAACAGGAGGAGCCAGAAGACGATCCTACTGGGATCGTGAGGGGTTCACTCCCGTGCGGAGACACCAACCCCTCTGAGGGATCCGGTCCCAGCTTCCTCGGGCAGCGCCCCCTCCCCAACAGGCAGGCCGAGCCACAGAGCCCCCCTCCTGGCAGGCCGACCCTGGGGAGACGCTCCCGCTAAGAAGCTGAGATCGCGGGGTTCCTCGTCCCCTCCCCCCTCCAGGCCTCGCCCACGACGACCCCTCCCCCTAGGCCAGCATGACATCCTGCGGACCCCTTCCCTGAAAGCTCCCGACCCCGTCATCCAGGACCGCGCCCCCTCCCCGCTGGCCGGCCTGGTCCTCCTCTCACGAGCCGCGCCCTAGACGACCCCTCCCCTAAGGCCGACACCGAGCTCCCTTCCCCCAGCCCGATCGGCCCGCGCGGACCTCAGTCTCCCGCTCGGGCCCGCCTCCCGCTCCGGCTCCGGCTCCGGCTCCGGCTCCGGCTCCGGCTCCGGCTCCGGTGCCGCTTCACCCGGACCAGCCGCCGTGAGCGGGTCCCGCCGCCTCCATCCCGCCGGCCTTCCCAGCACTCCCTGCGCAGCCTTAAAGGTGAAGCTGGTACCTTGGCGGCGTCGGAGGGGGCGAAACACTCCTTTCGGCCAGCAGGCTGCCTTAAAGGAGCACGCCTGCGGGGCCCACTCCAGGCCAGGGGGAGGGGTCCGGGGAGTGGCCGTCAGCGATGGGGCGTGGTCACCGAGGCGTGGGGCGTGGGCTAGCCCGGCAAGTGGGTTCGCCGCCGCCGCCGCCTCCCAAGCTCCTGCGGTCTCGGAGTCCTTCGCTGTAACCCACCCCGAGGCCGCGGGAGTGTGGACTGGCTGGCGAGGATGTGTACCTGAACTTACCTTATTCTGCGGCCAGAGAGGACGGTGGGAGAAACTGAGGCCCAGGGAGAAGGCCCGGCCTCCTGAGTCCAGGTCGGGACATTTGACATTTATTGGCATCGAATGAGGCGAAGTGCCACTTTCTGAGCTCTTACTGCGTGCCGCGTGCTTGGATGCCTTAAGTGCATTTAACGCTTACAAAGACGGAATAAAGCGGGCACTGCTATTATCCCAGTGTCACAGATAATAACCCTACACTCTCTAATCGGTGGTTATTACCCACCCAATTCCTTTGGAGCTGTCCTTGTCCCATGAGGTAGTTCCCGGCATCTTAGGGCCGCTTCTTGGGAGGAAGGAACAGAGGCTTCTGGCCGTGAAAGAGAAAAAGGTGACAAGGGGCAGCCAGGCATCGGCAGAAACACTCATGACCCTGTGGGTGAGCACCACCACGAATGCTGTGGGCTGGACGGTCAGGACAAGGTGATGTCGTTCACGGCTCAGGTGAGGTGTCACCTCAGAGAGCCCTCCCCTGATTCCCCGCACCCTTATGCAGAGCAGCACTCCAGCACATCTCATGCACCCATCAGGCCAAGATCTGCGTGTCTTGTTCATTCCCAGAGAAACTTCTGGCCACCACATGGCAACACTCAGTGAATGTTGGTTTTTTAAAAAGGGTGCACCTGTTGGCCCAGGTTTGGGCCTGGCACCCCACAGCCCTGGGCTGCTGGCCACCCTGGCCTTACCTCCACTGCTTTTAGGTCAACATCCCTAGAAGAGACCTCTCTGAGAGACAGTACCTGCCCAGCAAGGCCTGGCACTGGTACCCAGGGATCTGGGGTGTTCCTCTTGTGTGGGGGATGCTCAGACTACCAAGTTCAGTGTCCTGGTGGATGAACCCTGTGAGCATCATCTCTGACAGAGATGTTCTGACACCACCCCCGCCCCCCAGCTCAAGTATGTTCTGTGGCAGGAAGTTCGGTACAGTCTGTGGTGAGCTCTAAGGTCAGCAAGGTTTTCCTTCGACAGCCCCCTAAAATATCTGCCCACAG